GCATTCGAGGAACCATCTGTAAAGAGGGTCCAGATTCCCGAAATGGTCCCCGAGTTTAATAACAACTTTCTTTTCACCTCGGGTATTAGGACCGGCATAAAGTCGGCCACAAATTCCGCTAAAATTTGAGATTTAATGGCGGTCCGGGGTCGATATTCGATATCGTAGCCGCTGATCTCTACGGTCCATTTGGCCAATCATCCCGAGAGTTCGGGTTTATGCATTACATTCCTCAATGGAAGTTGTTACAATACATATGGGGTGACATTGAAAGTACGATTTCAGTTTCCTAGAGGCACTTAGCAAAGCGAGTGCTAGTTTTTTTAGGTGAGGGTATCTAGTTTCGGCCTCGCCTAGAGTCCTGATAACATAATAGATTGGAAATTGCGTACCTTCCTCTTCCTGGACCAGGACTCTACTTACCACTATCTTGGATACTGCTAAGTACAAGTATAGTTGTTCGTCTATCTCCGAAGTATGAAGCAGAGGTGGGCTCGAGAGATACCACTTGAGTTCCTCCAAGGCTCGTTGGCACTCTAGGGTCCATGAGAAGTTATTCTTTTTCTTCAACAGTGAGAAGAACTGGTGGCTCTTGTCGGATGACCACGAGATGAATCGCCCTAGGGCGGTTATGCGTCCGGTTAATCTTTGAACGGCCTTGACATTGTCCACAATAGTGATATCTTCGATGTCCTTGATCTTATCGGGATTAATCTCGATTCCCCAGTTAGATACCATGAACCCGAGGAATTTCCCCGACCCGACCCTGAATGCATATTTCTCATGATTCAGCTTCATATTGTACTTTTTCAACATGCTGAAGGTTTCCTGGAAATGTTTCAAATGGTGCAGGGACTTAACCAACATATCGTCAATGCAAACCTCCATTGATTTTCCTATTTGTTCTTCAAACATCCGATTTACTAGGCGTTGGTAAGTGGCACTGACATGTTTTAGTCTGAATGGCATTACGTTATAGCAGTAGGTACCGTACTTAGTGATGAAGGACATTGTTTCTTGATCGTCCGGGTCCATCCGAATTTGGTTGTACCCAAAATAGGCGTCGAGAAAACTGAGGATCTCGTGGCCGGTCGTCGCATCGATCATGCGATCAATGTTGGGCAAAGGGAAATAGTCTTTGGGGCATGCTTTATTCAAATCTTTATAGTCCACATACATTATTAATTTATTCCCCTTTTAAGGGACTACCACTAAGTTTGCTAACCAATCTGGGTACTTAACTTCCCGGATGGACCCTACTTTAAGGAATTTAGATACCTCGTCCTTGATGAACGCATGCTTGACCTCGGATTGGGGTCTCCTCTTCTGCTTGATCGGGTGGAAGTTTGGGTCCAGGCTCAGCTCGTGAGTGATTATTTCCGACGGGATCCCTGCCATATCAAGGTGGGACCAAGTGAAACAATCTATATTAGTCATGAGGAATTGAATGAGTTTTTTCCTGAGCTATGGACTTAATCTCGAGCCCAGCTATACCTTTCGATCGGGCGAGTGCTCGATCAGTACGACTTGCACCAGTTCCTCGACTGTTGATTTGGTAGCATCGGAATCGTCAGGGGCTCATTCCCCTGCTTCTCTAGTAGGGTCGGGGACGATGTAGGTAATTGCTATTTGGCTTCTTGCTTGCGGCCAAACCCATACCTTTTTGTCATTGTAAGTGTGAATACCAAGACCACCTCGTCGACCGTGAACATTTCCTTCGCAGACAGTTGTTCTCTGCAAACTATTTTTATCCCTCCTTGCGTTGGGAATTTCATCACTTGGTGCAGAGTCAAGGGTACCGCCCTCATGTTGTGGATCCATGGCCTTCCGAACAGAGTGTTGTACGTCATGTCTCCTTCGATTACATATAATGTGGCTTCCTAAATGGTCCCTGCGACGTTCACCGGTAATGTTATCTCCTTTTTAGTGGTCTCACATGCCATGTTGAATCCGTTTAGAACCCGGACTGCAGGCACGACCTGATCTTGTAAACCGAGCTGTTCCACGACCCTCGATCTAATGATGTTAGCCGAGCTACCTAGATCAATTAACACACGCTTAACTCGAGATTTATTTATGAGTACATATATTACCAGTGCATCATTGTGGGGCTGCACGATCCCTTCAGCGTCCTCGTCGTTGAAAGACAAGTTTCCCTCTGACACATAATCCTGAGTATGTTTTTCCCTTGTGATGGATACTTGGTACGCTTCAACATCGGCCCCTGGGGAATGTTGACCCCGCTGTTGATCATGTTAATGATGTGTTGAGGTTCATCCTGCTCGATTTGTTTATTAGAATCTCTATTCCTGAAATAGTTCTTGGCAGGATCGCTCAGGAAATCTCGGAGATGTCTGTTATTGAATAACCGGGCTACTTCTTTTCTCAATTGTTGGCAGTCCTCCGTTCTGTGGCCGTGAGTGCTATGATATTTGCACGTTAGGTTAGGATTCCTTTGGGTTGGATCGAACTATAGAGGTCGAGGCCATTTGGTGTCTCTGATGCGTCTGATGGCCGTCACGATGGCAGCAACATCAACATTGAAGTTGTACTATGATAACCTCGGTGCTTCCTTAGGCCTGATGGGCCTGTCAAAACCGTTTTTTCTCATGAGTCCCCGGTTATTTTGACTCTGATCGCTTCTCCTTTCATTCCTCGCAGGGTTTCGTCCCGATCCGTTATTCTTGTGATCACCGATATACAGATGATATCGGTCCCTACTTGGCCTTGGTTCACGATCAATGTCTCTTTTGGGCATGTCACTGGCTCGGATAGGATAGACAGACCTGGAAGGGGCCCCAAGCTGATCATCTTCGACTCCAATTTTTGACTGATGTCGGTTATGCACATCGACCTAAATCACGATCGGATATTCTACCAGATTTTGTTTCAACTGCTGTGAAGCCAACGAGCTTCGAGTATTGAGTCCTTGGGTGAAGGCTTGAACAACCCAATCATCCGCAACCGGAGGCAGGTCCATCCGTTCCATCTTAAACCGAGACACGAACTCTCTAAGCATCTTATTATCCCTTTGTTTCACTTTGAAAAGGCCCGACTTCCTAGTCTCGACCTTCATAGCCCCGGCGTGCGCTTTTACGAAGGAATCTACAAGCATAGAAAATGAGTCAATAGATTTAGGAGGTAGGTTGTGATACAATATCATAGCTCCTTTTGACAAGGTCTCTCCAAATTTTTTCAGCAAGACAAATTCGATCTCGTCATCTTCTAAGGCATTCTTCTTGATGACACACGTATATGAGGTCACATGTTCATTTGGGTCAGTTATCCCATTGTACTTAGGAATTTCAGGCATGCGAAAATTTTTAGGGATCGGCTTCGGGGCAGCGCTCAGATGGAAGGGATTTTGAACAAACATCTTGGAGTCTAGGACTTTCAATATTGGTAGCGCTCTGGGGATTTGGTCGACACTGGAGTTGTAAGTTTTCACCTTCTTGTCGTTGGCTTTGATTTTCTTTTCTCCTGTTTCCACCTACTTTTTCAGTTTCTCGATCATCTTTATTATTTCAGGGTTGGTTCCGGGTTTAACTTCATTTGGCCTATCTACGGCTAGTTTATTTCCGCGAGTATTTTCCTAGGATGACTCGGGCTCAACTCTACTAGGAGCGCGACTTCGGTTCTGCAGTTGGGCTATCACTGCATGCTAAGCCTGCAGCATTTTGAAGATCACCCGCAAGCTGACACCGTTACGAGCATTTTAAGCTACCGATCGGACTCCCCCACGGATGCTGTTCTCAGGATCGATGGGCATATTCGTGTTGATGGCCATATATGAGCTCGCGTCGATCGGGTTCGCGACCGGAATTTCGTTGGGATCGGCGGGGGACACCTCATTTTCGGGCGCTATATTGTTGTTCTCGCCATAGTGGCCAGACTCAACATCCGTGTTTAGAGGGGAGATTGGGAGTTCGACATTTTAACGCAGACCTGAAATCAACGGCACTTCAAAAGAGCAAGTGTAAAGTAGGTTGTGTTACGAAAATTTGTATCAAATCGCTGTTATTATCCTTAGCTTCACGGTGGGCGCCAAACTGTTTATCCTCAAAATCGGATAATAATTAAATTTGTAAGTGGTTTTAAGAATACGCGAATTAATTTGATACAATAAATTAAGTTACTATTGAACAAACAAAGATAAAATAGATTCAAACCACACGAGGAAAGATAGTTCCAGCTTTAATGAAATATTCTGGTGAACAAGAGAGAGAGGGAGAGAGAGAGAGAGAGCTGATAACAGAGAAAACAATAATATAATGCTTTGGAATGTGTGTTACAATGTGATTCATGAATTATTAGATCCTTTTTTTAATAGTAGGGGAGTCCTACTTTAGGTACAAGTCTATAAAAGGTAAAAAAATCTTCCGATTTACTGATTGTCGGTTCCCTATCGATACATGCCGAGATCCCCGCCGTGATATTCGGCCGGTCACGGATATTTCGGCCTTCCGTTGGCTATGCTTGATTGTCCGACAATGTTTTTCGAAGTCGTTCGAGGCTAGGACCGATTCCGGAACCATGACCTCGACATTTTCGAGGGCAGGCGTCATGCCTCGAATGTTTCGAGCTTGGTTTATCTTGTTGGAGGCTGGATGCAGCATGAGCAAGAATTCGCCCGTATACAACTACAATAACATCAAGGCGCCAAGTAGGAACGGTTCCTCATTCAAGAAATATCCAATTTGCTGAATGGTCATTTGTGTCGCTTTTTTATTGGCTACTCTTTCCATTTGCGTAATTGGGATTCTAAAATAGCACTTGTCGATTTTCACTTCAAATTTTTTTAAACGAAAAATAAGAAATGAACTTAACGATGGTAACATGGTGCAAAGCCTCAAAATTACAAGAGAACTGAGACAAGATATATGTGGATTGCAAAAGGACAAAAAAAGGTCTATCCATTAATTTTGGCTGGGCAATTTAGCCCGAAGATTTAAAAATTACTCGTTTACCAATTCATCATTTGGTCTCTCAATATTGTCAAAGACTATGTACAGACAGATAACACTGAATTTAACTGCTATTAGGATTCAATTAGGACCCCAACAGCTCAAATACATGACTTTCCTCAGAGACTCCTCAGACTGCTTCAATTGACCTTTGTTTGTAGAAACCAAAGAAGAAGAGTGAGAAGAGAGCTTCTTGGCCTGTGAATATGTCCTTGGATTGTTCTTTGCGTGTTGATGTATTGTTCTCAAGGTGTAATTCCACCTACAAATTCCTTGATCTTTCAGTGCCTCTACCACTCCCAAGCTCACTGCTGTAACCCATGCCCTGCTTGTTGAACTCATTTTCTAATCTTGAACCTTGAACTTTGGCCAAGTATGTGAAGGTTTCTAATTTGTTGAAGAAGGCTACTGCTTTTGCAAAGACTTGAATTTAATGTTTATTGAATTCCCAGAGATTTGATGCTTCTGAATATATATAGGTAGGTGCTCAACAAAACTAGAGGCTTTTGGCTGTGGATTCCTGTGGTTTTGGAGCATGGTTTTCAACACTTTCGAGTGTGGTGTGCAGCCGTGGATGTACATTTTTGCCCTTCCATAAAATATTTCACGAGGAAATATTTGAGGGTGTAATTGGTATTTCATATTATTACTACTTGAGAGTGGAGAGTTGGCTGGTTGAAGGAGCACACAGAATTTTGGAATCTTATTAATTGTTTGGATTATTATTGGACACGAGCAGAGTGATATGTCTGATGTGCATGATGCCGAAATACATGAACAATAAGATCGATGCGCACGGATTGGCTAAGATTAAAGAAAACCACTTGTTGAGCCTAAACCATGGGAAATTATCTTGAAAATGAAACCACATAAATGTTGGGCATGCGTCTTTAGCAGTATCACGTGAAAACTCACACAGTTAAAAATTTGGCGTTGTTGTATGTATATATTTTTATTTTTATTTGTTTAGGCTCGACCTAACTTGGCTTGATATTTTTTCACTCGAGTTGATCAGCTTGTTTTGGAAAGTCCAGCTTCACTCGGTCAAAGTTCGAGCTCAACAATCCTAACTCAACTCCACTCGGTTGAGTTCATCTCTTAGGTAAAATGCTAAGTGAATTAGTAACTATGTTGTTAGAGAAATACACTTGTTACTCATCTATTGTGTAACGTTATCCAAAACAGTTAATAAATCCTTAGTCACACTACATCTATTGCCTTCTGATTGGGTGATCAAATTCTTTCAGATATGTTTCATAGATACGTTTAAATTAATAAAATATAAAAATTAGTATGTTAAGAAGAAATTCCATGTTATGATGTTACTAAATTCATGTTAGATCGTTGATGATAAAGGATAACTAATAAACTGGCTATAATTATTTGATGGAACAATTTGATATTCTAGCCATATGGCAAAATTCATATCTAATTCTGTTAACTATGTTTTGAGATTTGTTAAATTCGAGTAAATTTCATGGATGATCATTTAACTTTCTGTTCATTACCCAAAAGTTATTTTTCTTTTTTTTGTTACGTAAAAGTTATTCAACTTTGAGTTCATTACCCAAAAGTCAATTTTCTTTCTTGTGTTACACAAAAATAATTTTAATATGCACTAGTTATCACAATAATCACTTTGACCAGAATTTACAAACCTTTCACCAGAAAAGTCTATTATGCACTTGATATTATAAATCCTCTCATTTATGTAATACCTTCTATATTATATGCTATATAATATACTTTTACCCAAGTATTTTACTTATAATTAAAATAACTTAATAGTATCATTTTATTTATTATTTTTATAATATATTCGTACATTTAATTTTTTCTTAATATTAATTTTCAAGATATATAAGTAGCATTATTAAATTTGTCAGTAATATTACCGTGAACAAATCTCAAGTCCACGATTCTTAATCATGTTTAATGAAATATGTTTAATAAAAATTAAAAAATCAAAGCTTATTGATTTATCAGCCAACCCATACCTATTAATTTAATAAATAAAATATCCACATTTAACAAAATGACACATCAGATTAATACTTTCAAATAAAAAATATTAACAAATAAAGCTTTTAAAAACTTAATATTAAACACAAATGTCTTCGAAACTTTTTTTAAAATTTTTATTGACTATAAAAAACTATCATTTGTTAAACAAATTTATTTTTATTATTTAAACCAATATTAAAAAATAAATATTTTTATCATTTTTATATTTAAAATATGTTCATGTTTGAATATGATTAAACAAAATTGAGTGCCATGAAAACATTAAATGTATGGATATACTATAAAAATAATAACTAAAATAATTTAAAGTTATTTTAATTATAAGTAAAATATCTAGGTAAAAATATATTATATAGTGTATAATATAGAAGGTATTACATAAATAAGAGGATTTATAATGTCAAGGACATAATAGACTTTTCACGTAAATATATTATAAAATCTAACCAAGTTGACTTTTGTGATAAATAGAGCAAAGTAAAAATAATTTTTGTGCAACAAAAAAAAAAACAACTTTTAGATAATGAATACAAAGTTGAATAATTTTTACGTAATAAAAAAAGACATTTGCGTAATGGACACAAAGTTATCACCAAAAAAATTTACTAGGTAAATCCCCTAGCTAGATACGACGTAATATTTCGACCCATTTTGTTACTTTTTCTACCTCTATTCTTCTTTATTTGATTTATACTTGATCCTTGGAGATGCTTTTCAATCTGGATTTAGCATCAGGATCAGCGACTTTTTTTTGGACACTATCGCAGACTTCTAGCTCCTTTCAGAAAGTTTGCATTTGCTTAATGATCATTTTCACGTATTTCAAATATTAAAACCATATTCATTCAGTATTACCTGCAAGTATGCTGAAGTAATGCTAAATATTAGTTGATCCATCAAAACATTAACACATCAAAATTTCCGCAGTAATTCATAAATAATTTTACATATAAGACCTTTAAATTCTATTTACAGTCATTTTCTACATCATTCCTTTTTTTTTCATTTTCAACTTGAAAATCTTCAGGTCTCTGTTAAAAAAAATAACGATGAAGGAATCTAATTAAGAAGAAAAATAAGATCAGTTGGGACCCCAACAGCTCGAGTACATAACTTTCCTCAAAGATTCTTCAGATTGTTTAGCCTTGTCGCTCCTTGCAAATAGTGAGGATGAAGAAGAAGAAAGCTTCTTAGCTTGAGAGTAAGATCTCATGTTATTCTTTGCGTGCTGAGCAAAGGACCTCAAAGGGTAATTCCATCTACAGAAACCTTGATCTTTTAAAGCTTCCACTGCTCCAACACTGGCTGCTACTATCCACGCTCGCTTGCTTGTACTCATGATGCTTTTCTTTCTAAAACCTCTTTTTCCTGCTTCAGTTTTGATATATGAATTCTAGCTTTTGTTTTTCTGAAATTTTTGGTAGTAGTAGATTTGATGGTACTGAAGATGATATCTGGAGTTTGGGGCTAATGCTGAATATATAGACAGTAGTGATCAAAAGAAGCAAAGAGTTGATGGGAGAAAGAGTGATAAACCAGTGGTCTTTTGGCTACTGCGGGCTCTCCAGCCAATGGTTTTCTAGTTATTTTATCCTCCAGGTAAAGGAGACTAACGTATGTTTACTTGTCTATTCATTGCTTCTGATTTATGAGAAGAAGACAAGAGTAGGACCACCGGCACTATAACTCTTTCTTATACTAATTGTTTAATTAATTGCACTATCCTAGACGGTAGAGTCGTAAAAGTAATCGAGAGATGAAACTCTTTCTTATACTCTTTCTTGAGAGATGACCTTTTTTCGGATTATGTGAATGCATTCTGTGCATTAAATTGCCCTTGCTCGCTAGCCCTTAATTTAGTACTCCTCCGTTCCAATTTAAATTTACGTGAACCTGTTTGACTGGTAATAAAGATTTTTGGAATTTATGGTCCTAAACAATTCAAAAAGGGACTCAGAGTATTTGTGTGATTATAAAAGCTTCTCGTTAAGGGTAGAATTGTAAGTTTAAGCAAAATTATTTTCAAATTTAAAAAGAGCTCATTTTTTTTGGAATGGACAAAAAAAAATAGGTTCACGTGAACTGGAACGCAGGTAGTAAAATTTAGTATCTCCGAACCTGGATGGTTCTAAGAAATTCATATGATCTCCTGCTGAAATCGCACAATTGCCAAGTAAATTTTATACTATAATTTTGATATTAAACCTCGTACTCCGATTCGTCTGCAATCGGAACTTGGAATTGCCATGTGCTGATTTTCAAACTACATGATGCTTTAAAAATATTAGAAATCCATATGTTCATAATATGTTTTCGGGAAAAGAATGGTTAAACAAATTAATAATAAGTGGACCAGGACAACTGGTTCTTCACAAATCGATGGTTTTATAAGAAATCAAAATAGAGCACAAGTGGTGAAGCCATTTAGGCCTACATGCATTGGATTTCTAATAATAAAAAATATTATTTTAGAAATACATAGAATCACATAAAAATTTAATAAAACCGTAGCATAGAAAACCTTAAATCTTTTATCCATACGTTATACATTAGAATTAATTTATATAAAGAGAAAAAAAATTCAAAGAAAGGAGGTAATGTTATTGTCTTGTTATCTACATAGACATTTTTAGTTACATACATGAAGCAATTGCTTCATTTCGAGAAAAAAAAAGTTCCTGAAAACATGAAGTAGTTATTTAGGGATCGTGGGAAATCATAATATTATAACTAACTAAATACATTGATGTAACGACCCGTCTAATCGTTTTGAGCAATTGTGTTCGATTCGGCCGTTTGAGGTCATGAATAGTTTCACCTAGTGTATTATGACTTGCGTGCATCATCGGCTCAGGTTTTTGAGTGGTTCGAAAATAATTTTAAGCGGTGACTCTCATTTGAGAAGCTTGAAGTTGAAGGAATTGACCAAGTTTGACTTTTCGGGTATTTGACCTCAGATCGGAGATTTGATGGTTCTGGTAGGTACAGATGGTGATTTTGGATTGGGCGTATGCCCGAATTTGCATTTGGATATTTTTAGAGGGTTTCGACGTCATTTGGCGAAAGTTGAAAATTTAAAGGTTTTGAATTTTCCTAAGTTTGACCATAATTTGACTTTAAGGCTATCGGATTCGAATTTTGATTTCGGGACTTGGAATAGGTCTGTTTCGTCATATGGAACTTGCATGCAAAATTCGATGTCATTTGGAGTTGATTTGATATGGTTCGGACGCTTGGTTGCGATTCTAGAAGTTCTTGAAGTTCATTGTGATTCTCATGCGTTTGACGTCCGATTCGTGCATCTAGAGGCTATTTTGATAATTCGATCGCGCGAGCGGGTTCGTGTTATATTTTGGAGTGGTGCGGGTATTTGGTTTGGAGCCTCGGGGGCTCGGGTGAGTTTCAGATTGATTTTGTTAAATTGTTGAGCGTTGGTACTGCTTCCATCACATTTGCGATGTTTCTGTCGCAAATGCGACTACAGCATTTGCGAGGTAGTCATCGTATTTGCGAACCTGGGCTGCTTGGAAGGGATCACATTTGCGAAGAAATGATCGTTTTTGTGAAGCCTGTAGAGTTCGCATTTGCGAACTCTGTATCGCATTTGCGATAAATGCCTCGGCTGGGTAGGGTCGCTTTTTCGACAAACTAGTCGCTTTTGCGAAGACTAGTGTCCGCATTTGCGATATTTTCTGTCGCATTTGCGAAGGCGTCAGAATTAATCAAGCTTCGCTTTTGCGAGTTCGCATTTGCGAACCCAGTGTTACAAATGCGACATCTACGGCTTGCTTATAGCTGAGTATTCTGAAACTTAGCTTCATTTTATCATGTTTTCAAACCCTAACCTCGATTGGAGGCGATTTTGTGGAAGGATTTTCATGCCAAACCATTGGGTAAGTGCCTCTAATCAATTTTCAATTATATTTTATGATTATACATTATATTTAACATCAAATTCATGAGAATCTAAGGAAAAAATTGGGGGATTTTGTCAAAATTTTGAAAAATAAAAAATTGGGATTTGAGAGTCGAATTTGACTCAGATTTGAAAACAAAATACGTATATGTACTCGTGGAGCTATGGGTAGTCAAGACCTACCCTTGGACCCGAATTTTGACCGGACGAGCCCGGGGTTGACTTTTTGTTGACTTTTTAGAAATTGTATAAAGATCATAGCTTTATTAATTGAAATTATTTTCTCTTGCATTGTTTGATGTATTTAAGTTGTCTTTGGCTAGATTGAACCGAGCGGAGGTGAATTTGTAAAGAAAAAAGCTAATTTGAGTATTAATTTGGCCGAATTGAGGTAAGTGTTTTGCCTAACTTTATGTCGGAAAAACTACCCCTTAGGATTCGAGTTGATTGTGCTAATTGTGTTATTTGAAAGTCATGTACGCAAGGTGACGAGTAGGTACACGAGCTATATGTGGTATTTGACCGGTTTAGGTTATCTAGATTCTTTCCGTGCCTTTAAGTGAATTGTCATGACGTGTTAGGCCTCTCATCGTTAATCTATGCTTATATCCTTTATTTGACGTTGTTAGCACTCATTGTACTTCTTACTTGATATTTTGCACTTATATGCTTTAATTGAAGTTGTTGCCTTCCTTATTGTCTTGAGACCTCTTAATTGTTGCGTTCCATCTACAACTCCGTGCTTATTTTCTACTTGTTTAATTGTTGTAATTGCACGCCTTAGTTGTCTCGTGCCTCATTTGTTCTGTTGCTTTTGTAATATTTGTTGCGTTCCTTGATTTTTACGTGATTTCTTCATTGCCGTGTACTCATACCCTATGATTGTTGAAATTCTTATAAATTGAATATTGGATTGTTGATGTTATTAATTTATTTATGTATTTATGGAGGATTTATATTGATATGGTGGGATCGGGTTGCGCGCACAACATGTAAAATAAGGGTGGATTGATATGGTGAAATAAGGGAGGATTATGATATTAACTCTCATTATATGGTGGGATCGGGTTGCGCGCCACAACATATATTTAATTATTATTATTATTAATATTTACATGGTGGAATAAGGGAGGATAGTATTGTACGGTGGGATCGGATTGCGCGCTGCAACAATTTATGTGTTTTGTATTCCTTGATGTATTGTGTTGGATTCGGTTCTTTCATACGAGATTTTGAGGATTGATATTTATGGTTTTTACTGATTTTTGAGGATTGAGTTGTTTTCATTAGTTTACTGCTTTGCCGTCATTTTCTGTTTTCCTTTCCTATTACTATTATTTTGGTGAATTGATTTTCAAGATGAATTTGCCACGCTGAGTCATTATCTCATATCCTGTTGAGTTGTTAGTAACACAACGGTTTTAAATAAAATAATTAATAACATGCTTACCTTATGTGACTCTTAAGTTAAAACTCGTCATTTCATTCGGTAAATTACTATTTTTAATAGTCGTCATATTTTACTTTAATCAATTTCTCAACTTAATCTCCTTACCTTATCTGATATTTCTACTTTACTTAAAAAAAAAAAGGAATTGCTATTATGTTTTTAATTTATTTAAATTCTGTATTCAAATCAATAGCTTATTTGATGCCTTTTTTTATTTGAAAATGTTATTCTCTTCACCTAAAATGTTTTCCAAATTAAACTCATTTCTCATTGATTTCCTATTTGGTTTAGAAAATGCAATTTTACTTTATTATATATGAATAGATCCCTCGAATATTATTTATATCATTTGATACGGTTACTATGTACTTGGTAGCACGTGGATTTTGCCGTGCGAAGTGGTATAGAAAATATGGGCACAAGGTGCCATGTATGTTAAAGGTTTGGAAGTTGTGATTTATGATCTGAGATTACGAGAAGTCGGATTGTTGAAATTCGTGTATTAGGAATGATTTGATTGGTTGAGTTGTCATCGTTTTCCTACTTAAACACATTCATACTTCATCTGTACCCCGACTATGTTGTTGCTTAATTACTTGGTTATTTCTCATTGCCATTCGTGTTCCCCTTATCTTCACCGTTGATTGAAATTTGAATTCCTTCTGCTATTGGCGTTACATTGATATTCCTTCATTGTTAGCTTTATGTCATATCCTGCATATGTTTACATGTCCGGTAGGTGTCTTGACCTGGCCTCGTCACTACTCTACCGGGGTTAGGCTTGATACTTTTTTTCCCTATAGTGTTAGCCCGCCATTTCCCCATTTCACAATGTTCTCGTGAAGTTGCTCACAAATCAAAGTGTGAATTTCCTTTTCGAAGTCTCGCATGCTCTTTTTGAAAGGTCAGCACTTGAGAGGCTTGCTTCGGTAAGAGTCAAAAAGAAAAGGCTGAAAGCAAGACAGTCCGAAAAAAGCACTTCGGGTGAAGACCAATGAGCGATTGCGACAGGCTGTACCTGTACGACTAGGGATTGGGGGACGTTGAATAGTAAACTAAACCAATTTCAGCAAGTCGCTGGGGAATGTCGAGAATTTGAGCAAGGAGGGCCATGGCTTCTCGATATACACTGGTAGAAAACTTGAGGATCTTTTGACTAAAGCAAAAAAGGCTCAATAAGTTCTAATTCTAAGAAGGGGGCAACACCTTGAATCAAGCCTGCCTGACTGTGAGATCGACTGGTCGAACAGAAATGAAAGTCGGCATCTTGTTCAAAGCGAGCGGTCATGTATGGAGAATGTGGTCAGAAATCTATAATAGAGTCCGGCCGACACGGCCAAAGCGAACCATGCTAGTGCTAAAATCGATCACAAGACCTAAAGAAGAATAAAAAATGGAAAACATTATTGTAAATGGCAGGAGAAATGGATAGCTGAAGTTTTTAGGCAACTTGTCCTACTTTTTCTGCTCTATTTGCTTGCAATGCTATGCCTATCAAAGTTGGCGAAAGGCCCTTCTTGCGCCAACATACCTCCAATGGCATAAAGTTGAGTGGACAGGCGATGGGAGGATGGGGGAAGAGCAAAGACAAGACTGAATTGATTCCATACTATAATTACGTAGAGATGGGAGCGGATTCAGTGAAATAGACGCTTCTCTTTTTTTTGGTCCACTCTCCCTTAGAAAATGGAGCTGCTTGAAAGCAGATACTGGGTACCACTGTGGTATACTCATGCTACGCTTCTACATATTTTGTATAGAATCAGGTACTTCAGATCGAGTTGGTTTTGAGACTTATGCTTGTGCGGTTGGAGACTTCAAGGTACACCTGCTGGACGTTCGCAAGCTCTGAAGTCACCTTCTGTTGTATTCATTTCCATTGTTTCCTGTTACTCCAGAACAGTGATGTATATATTTTATATAGTTACTCTTAAAAAGGCTTATAACTTGTACTACCAGTTTTGAGATACCGTGTCATGTTGAGATTATTGGTTTATACAGAAATTTCCGTTTCATGTTTAATAGTTGTTTAATAGAATCTGTTATCATTTCGGTATGTGTTAGGCTTACCTAGTTCTAGATACTAGACGTCATCACGACTCCTTCAGAGGGATTTTGGATCGTGACACTTATACTTTCACCTTATTGTTAGGGTTAAGATATTTTTAATTTAAGTGTCTGAAACGACTAGTTAGATTAATTCTTCTTTTCCTTACCCCCTTATGACTTATACATATAATAAAATAAAATAAAAAATAGTTTAGGATTGTAAATTTACCGGGCACTCAAGGTTTGTTTTTGATTTGATTTTTACAAAAAGTTAATAAGACCAAATTATGTTTGGTTTACTAAATACATATATAAACACCAAACTAAACCAATATCAAATCAATTGCTGTGTTGTGTTTTCGGTCTATTTAAGTTATTTTTTCCCTTGTAATGCAAATTTAAGTCCCTCAATCCACTATAGCTACGAACAAATATGTGATAACTAACACTTCATCAAGCTTAATATTTAGGTAAGGTTACTCAAAAATAAAAAACATTGAGAAATTAATTTTCACATATTTATGCTTATATAAAAGGATAATGAGTTGGGTCACCCATATTATTTATAGTATAATTTTGGCAATAAATGAAGAGTTGCAAGCTTTTTATGAATAACTTGACAAACTTTAAAATAAGAGCAAACTGATACTAGGATATCAAGCACCAAATACTACATATGTACATTTGCCAGTAAAATTCACTTAAAATCAAGATCATAACTATGAAATGAAGTTAATTATTGTTAAATGGCGGAACACATCAAAATTACAAGTTTCACATAGATTCAACAAATAATTGAGTCAAGAAATGTCGATTGGAAAAATAAAAGGTTCTTTCTATTAATTTCAACAAGGCAATTGAGCCTCAAGCTCTAAAAATTAATCCTTCAATCATACATCCGGTTGGCCTCTCATCTTCTAAATTCTCAAGGAATATGTACATAAAAATATCAATCATTTAACTGTTAGAATTCAATTGGGACCCCAACAGGTCAAGTACATAACTTTCCTCAAAGATTCCTCAGACTGCTTCACTTTCTCCTTCACATCAGTGTTTGCAGAAAACAAAGAAGAAGATTGAGAAGAGAGTTTTTTGGCCTGCGAATATGACCTTAAATTGTTCTTGGCGTGCTGATGTATGGCTCGGATCGTGTAATTCCACCTACAAATTCCTTGATCTTTCAGTGCTTCTACGACTCCCAAGCTAGTTGCTGTAATCCATGTTCTGCTTGTTGAACTCATTCTCCAATTTTGATTATTGAAACTTTTTTTTTTTGGTGCTAAGTTTATGAAGCTACGGTTTAATTTGCTGAAGAAGGCTAGTGCTTTTAACAAAAGACTTGGTTTATATGTTGGCTGATTTACACCATTCTGCATCTTATTGTATATATAGGTACTTACTAAGCAAAACTGGAGGCTTTGGTTGTGAATTCCTGTGGTTTTGGAGCATGGTTTTCCAAATTTTGAGTTTGGTGTGCAGCTGTGAATGTACGTTTCTGTCCTTGTATATATTTTTTGTGATGACAATGATTGGGGTGAAGTTGGTATTTCATTATTACTAACTGAGGGTGGAGGTTCAGGTTAGTTAAAGGAGCACACAGATTTTTGTTGGATTACTTAACTGTCGGCTGGACTGGAGGTTACCATAGAGTGTGACACGTTCTGATGTGTAGCATACCAAAATAAATGAATAAACAAGCAAATAAATTACTCCATCAGTTCACTTTTAATTGTCAGGTATTCAAAAAATAAATTTTTATTTTTACTTGTCACTTTTTGTATATTAAGAAAAAAATAATTTATTTTTTCTATTTTGCCTTTAGTATTAATTACTCATTTCAAATCCATTAATACTATACATCAATTAATATGAATATCGTAGTAAATTATGAATTTTATTTATTATTTCTAAATGACGTGTAAAGTAATAGTAGATAAATAAAAATGGGATTAACAAATGCCACACAAAGATACACACGGATTGGCTAGATTAATGAAAACCTCCAAACCACGGGAAAGGATCTTGAAAATAAAACCACATATATGTTGGAGTGACGTGCTTCCCAATGTCACACTGTTGACCATAATGTAAAACTTCTCTTTTTTCATTTGGAAAAATTCTTTTGGCCACATTGACCTAAATGGGGTCATTAAAGTAATTTTACGCCCCAATTAGGGTATTACCGATAATGCCCTTTTAGTTAATTTTGAATATTTCTCTCCCACCCATTTAATAGTTGTCTTCCCAATACATGAAAGATCTCAAAGGTTGCAAACCCTATTTCCCATAAACCTTTTAAATTTTTTTTTTTTTACGTATTTCCATCCCCCCCCTTTTTTTGGTAGTATACACCCATATAATTCGAAATTATTCATCTATATACATGTATTTAATTGTGCATTTCGTATATTTTTTAGTATAATAAGGTCTTCAAAGTCCTACTATTTAAACAAACCTAGATGGCCGAAACCCTACTTAAACAAACCCTAGATGGCCAAAAACACACTTAAACAAACCTTCATTTAAACTCCTATGTTCTTCTAAGTGTGAGTTAATATATTAAGGAATCAATAATGGTGTATTCGAAGAAGAATAGTGCTTCAAAAGTATATGTCGTATTTTCTGGTAAAAGGTCAGGAATATACTACTCATTGAGTGAATGTTCTCCTATGGTTATCGGGGTTAAGTGTAGCATCTTCCAATCTTTCAAGTCTCACGATGCGGCCATATCGGTGTTCGATGAATTTGAAAAATCTGCTGAACGTAAACAAAGACTCAAATATATGGTTTTTGTTATTTTTTGTGGTAAGAACCGGGAATATAATTTCATTTATTAAGGTCATACGTATATTGATAGCGACCATATAATTTCGTTTACTATGGTTCCACTAGTTAATTACAATGTTGCTCTTTATATATAATTACATTAAACATCTATATATATAGTAGCCAATATATAATTTCATTCATTAAGGTCATATGTATATTGATAGCGACCATATAATTCCATATTGTATAATCTCACTATACTATATTTTATTAGTTAATCTAAATTATAATAAAAGAAAAACATGATAAAAAATTTTGACTAAAATTTCAAATAAAATATTTGGAGGGAAACAAATGGACTCTTAAAAATATGATTGGAGGGATATTAAAAGTTTTTGGGTCTTATAGAACTCCAAGTTTCAGCTATATACTTTATTGCTTATTATAGCTCCAAGTCTGGATCGGCATTGAGATCAAACAAGCTTGATTGCGATTGTGTAGCGTCAATTTGCTGCAATTTAAATTAAAAAAAACACAATAAGAAAAGATGATATGTTTAAAAGTAATAAATAAATGAAATGTAGTCGCAAAATTATACCTAATTCACACTTAGGGAACCATCATGCTCAATGTTTGTACCTCTGCCTTGCCTATTACCCCTACCCCTGCGTCCACCACTTCTACCGGCATCTCTACTACCATGATTGCCACTACCCCTGCTACCAATCCTGCCACTACCCCTGCCACCCCCTCTAACACCAGTTCTTGTGCCATTACTAGCTCCCAATACACCACGCGACTGTGAACATGTAAAGTAGTATTCAATTCTTCCTCTATATTGATGCAAACACGGCCTGCCACGTGAACGAGTGAACTGGGGATCTCGTAGAGTTGTGCCGTCAATTTCATCTGAGTTATCCTGGTTGAGGTTTGGCACGATCATTTCGTCGTCCCAATTTTGAAGATCATGCACCATCTTCTTCAAATTATGCTTAACATATTGAACCTTCACGCTAGTGCCCAGTGCTATATCACAAGCCATGTCAAAATACTTCAACATGCTCCTGTATATCTTGTACTCAGGAGTCATGTTTGGATAACCAACTTGATGGAACCGATTCAAGTGTGGCCTAATCGCTTCTCCACCTTGCCAGTATATACCTTTCATCAATTTTATCAATCTTCTTGTGCGACAAGATCTTGAGTATATGGTAATAAAGTATCCCTATAGACTCGAACCATTTGAAGCTGCAACTAAAATAATCGCCGATAGGTGTATATTCAACATTGTAGTCAACTGGATTTCCATTATTTTTTTTAAAATTGAAAAATCACTAACTATAAATTTCTCAACACCAGAGATAACTTGATGATCGTTGGGGCTGCTTACTTCACACTGATACAATTTTNGCAACTAAAATAATCGCCGATAGGTATATATTCAACAGTGTACTCAACTGGATTTCCATCATTTTTTTATAACTGAATAATCACTAACGATGAATTTCTCAATACCAGGGACAACTTGATGATCGCCGGGGCTGCTAACTTCACAATGATAAAACTTCCTTAGTTGTGTCTTGAAAAATTCATACACTGTACGCGTATAACACTGAATTGCCTGCTCCTCCCACTTGAACATTGACTCACACACAATTTGAAAGCCCTTTGACCTGTATTTGGCTTCCAACTCTTTCTCATGCTTAAATCTTATAGCTAACTCATACTGGTTAACAAACATCTTAAGAGTACTTTGACGGGTAATATATTCATCAAAGAACGCATGCATCCCCTTACATCTTTGCGTAGATAGCATATCAGCCCAAAAATACACATCAAGGTACACAGGAACCCATTTTTCCTTCTCGGAGTAAAGCTTGTTGAACCATTCCTTGTATGCAAATTATACCTTGCAATATATTCTGTCCATTTTCTCTCAAAAACTTCAACAATAATGCTATCAAGGACCATAGATTTAAATTCTCCACGTACAAACTTTATAAGGACGAACACCACTTAAGTAAAGAGGCAACTTTGAAAATATATGTCAAATATAATACCTATGTATTGTATTTGGCATCACTTCAGTAATGGCTGGCTTAATGCTCTGACACTGATCAGTTATGATCGCATCTGGATGAACATTTCCTATGGCCTCAAGCCAAATTCTAAAAACCAATTTATAACTATCGATATCTTCATGAGACATGAGAGCATATCCCAGTAAGATGGACTGTCTATGGTGATTGATGCCAACAAATGTAGCACATGGCATATTATATCGATTCACAAGGTACGTCGTATCAAAGCATATCGCATCATAGAATTTCTCATACGCCGCCTTACAGTGTGAATGCACTCATACCACATTTCGCAACCTACCAATATTATCAACGTCTATTGAATAGAAAAACTCTCTATAATTTACCTGCATTTCACGAAAAAAGTTGAGCAGTGACTGTGCGTCCCCTTCTTGCATTTCAAAATTCCTACTCTTTAAAATAAAATTTCTACAATCCTTTGGAGTGCAACCCAAATTTTGCGATCCACCACGTTGAAGCTCAACAAGTCTAATATTCTTGGAGGGTCTAATGCCAGATCGATTGTGAGCTACAAGATCCCTCTTCAAAGAATCACAAACGGACCTATGTCCAGCCATCAGGCGCGATATGGAAGGGAGCAAATCATGGTTGTGATCATAAACGACCTTAGAGTCACGCCAACAACCAGAATCATCCAAAACAGCAACGACCCTAGCTTTACAATTGTTACTCTTGGTGGTAAAATTTATTTTACGAATCCTAGCCCTATCACAACAGTAAGTTACGTAGCTGGCAATGTCACCACCCTTCTTGTTGGAATTTCTTTTGACGACGGAGAATCCTTTCAATCGTGCATGTTCTTTGTAGAATGCAAACAAAGAATCTTTATCACTAAATTGCATTCCAGAGATTGGACCTACAACACATCCTCTTCAGAGAGTTTATTCTCCATTTCCCGATCAACATCACATAACTCTAACTCATTTCCTAAAACCTGCTCCCTCATCATTGTCAGCTTCTCCGTAATATTCTCCATCGGGTTCTTCATCATCATCATCTAAGTGCACATCATTGTTGAAACTACCATAAGAATCAACATCGGCCCATTCGTATTCATTCAATAAACTGTCGTCCGATGTCATCCTTAAAGATCTATACAACTCGTCCCTAACCCGATCAAACCTAGTTTGTTGGTTCATATTCATGGTTGTTGTATTTGTGTTATGTTCATTTGGATTCATATTTTCTTGCACCACCGAATTTTCTTGGTTTGAATCCATTTTTAGATAAGGAGAAAATGTCCACTTGACTTGGTTTGATATGAAGGAAGTATACTAAATCGTATACCGTATTTGTTTTTAAGAAAGGAAGAAAATATTATAATTTGTATACACACTAAATCGTATAATTTGTATAAACATAAAATACACATAAATACAAATATAATACACGAGACTCTTCAGCTACCAACATTTAATTTTCGCATACTTCAAAGCTTGGGATTTAATTTTGTGTTTTGGAGGAAAAAATGTAGGCTAATTAGTTAGGGGGTCTTTGATGTCTTTTCACGAGTGTGGCCAAAGTTGGGTCACCCCAGTTGGGCCGTTTAGCGATCACCCTTTTCATTTTACTTATCGTTTAGAATTTTAACACACTTCTCCTAAGAAGCTGCTGAGCAGGCAATCACTTCATCGACATGCAAGCTTAACCTTCTATATTCTTACCCTTGGTATTCAATAATATTACGTTTGTTGCCATCGAAATTGAATTTCAGCCGCAATTCTCAAAGTACAGGGTATGGGCTGCCCCCAATTTTAGCTTTACATACCACACATATGACGTTGTTCTCAAGAGTAATCATAGAACCTGTGCCCCATCTAATCTTCTCACACTTGACTCTTCAAAATTGCATTTGCACCAGTGTTTATGTGTATATTCTGGAGTAGCTAACAGGTTGAGTTGTAAAAAGTAGGATAAAAAAAAAGAAAATAATCAACGTTTTACTTAGTATAGAAAGAAAAACTTGGTTAAATTAATCAATCATTATTGAAGCTCCATTTTCATTTAAAAATCTAATCATATTGTAAAATTCGCTTAATATTTTCATTTAAAGTAAGGACAAGGGAAAGAATCATTTCATATACGATCCCACTGAAATCCAACAAGCATTTCCATATTAGAACCCAATTTTTAAATTGCCGAGGTTATGTTTAGTGTTCACATATATTAAGTTGGTTACTAATTGGTTAATTAATGCAATAAAAATTATAGGTTGTTATGCCTTTTGTGATGACCCGACATGTCATCTAGAGTTTTAAGCTTTAATTTTGTGTTTTGAAACCTCAAATAGCTCCATTTTTACTTTCTCGATTTGCGTGCGCAGTCCGTGTCCTTTTTCGAAAGGTTTTTATGTGAAATACTGATTAAAATGTGAATTTGTGCCTTAAAAATTCAATTGAGTTGACTTCGGTCAACGTTTTGAGCAAACGGACTCGGATCCGTGTTTTGACGGTCCCGGTGGGTCCGTATCATGATTTGGAACTTGGACGTATGCCCGGAACCGAATTCGGAGGTCCCTAACTCGAGTTTTCGCATTTTGTCGAAAATTTAAAGTTTAAAGTATTTAAAGATTTGACCAAAGTTTGACTTTGTTGCTACCGGGTCCGGATTCTGGTTCTGGAGCTTGGTATAGGTTCATTACTATATTTATGACTTGTATGCAGAAGTTGGTGCAAAACGAAGATGAATTGACGTGATTCGGACATCCAGTTGTTAAAATAGAAATTCTTAAGTTTCATTGAAAATTTTATTTGATTTGGTGTCTGATTCGTAGTTTTAGGTATTATTTTGGTGTTTTGATCGCGCGAGCGAGTTCGTATAATATTTTTGGATTTGTGTGCATATTTGATTTGGAGCCCTGAGGGCTCAGGTGAGTTTCGGATTGGCGTCGGAGTGGTTTTGGACTTAGAAAATAGTTGGTGCATGTGTGTTCTGGTGCTGGACTGCAGACTTCGCAAATGCGAGGTCTAGCTCGCAAATGCGAGCCTCGCATTTGCGAATGAGACTTCGCATATGCGAGCAGGGGCTGGGGACTGGTTTCTCACATTTGCGAGATTTAGGTCGCAATTGCGATCTTCTCAGGTTCGCATTTGCGAATATATTGTTTGTATTTATAAAGGCTTTTTCGCATTTGCGAACCCCAGGTCACAATTGCGACATCTGCGCCTTGTCAAAAGCTGAGATAGACAGGATTTTTCTCATTCTTTCAAATTTTCAACCCTTAAAAACCTTAGAGGCGATTTTTCCAAGAACTCTTCTTCCCGAATTCATTGGTAAGTGACTCTAACCTACTTTCTTTAAATTATCTATTACATTTCATAAGATTTCAACCTTAAATCTAGGATTTTCATGGTAGAAATTGGGGATTTGGGTAGAATTAAAAATTTTTGTAAAATTAAAATTTAGACCTCAAATTAAGGTCGGATTTCGAAATAAATTATATAACCGGGCTCGAGGGTGAATGGGTAATCAGGTTTTGGTCCGAATTTCGGGTTTGGACCAAGCGGGGCCGGAAGTTGACTTTTTCAATAATGACCTAAATTGAATCTCTTTCATTTGCGGGTAGTTCATGAGGTTTATTTTGAATCGTTTGGTTAATAAATTGCTAGATTTAGTTGGTTCGGAGGTTTATTCGAAAGGCAAAGCCATGGTTGAGCTTTGAGTCGATTTTGGAGCGAGGTATGTCTCGTAGTTAACCTTAACTTGAGGGATTAGGACTTATTTGCATATTTTCTACGTGTTTAAATATTTGGGTACAACGTATATGTGAGGTGACGAGTACTTATATATTGTTATTGGGTTAAAGCATGCGGGTAGGACTTGTTTCTTGTAATTTACATCCTTATTTGATTATGGTATCCATGATTAGACTAGTTTATTACTTAATTGATCGTTCTTTCATTTATGAACTATTTGTGATAATTGAGTATTTTTGGAAGTTGAGGTTTGGTATTGAGGAACCATTGTTGAGTACGGTTTATTCTTGCTTATTCTATCTCCCCAAATGTTATATATTCATTGCTACATGGTAAGGGAGAGTGTTAAAGCACGAAAAGTGATGCCGTACCGATTATTATTTCATTTATTGCTTAATACATAGTGAGGAAGAGAGTTAAAGCACTAAGGGTGATGCCATGCCGTATTTATCGTTTCATGATGAAATTGAGAGTAAAAGCACGTAGGGTGATATCGTGCCATATTTATCATTTTATGGAGAGATTGAGAGTAAAAGCACAAAGGGTGATGCTGTGCCATTATTGTTGTTCCATGGTGAGGTTGAGAGTAAAAGCACGTAGGGTGATATCGTGCCATATTTATCATTTTATGGAGAGATTGAGAGTAAAAGCACAAAGGGTGATGCTGTGCCATTATTGTTGTTCCATGGTGAGGTTGAGAGTAAAAGCACAATAGGTGATGCCGTGCAGTCTTTATTCATTATGTTATCTGTTTCCATTGGTTGGTGGTTTATTTGACGGTTTTATGTCGTTATTTCTGTTATAGCTATCGTATCCCGTTTCTCTTCGCATGCCCCCTTCCAAATAATACATGTTTAATCCTTATTGTTGTTATGTTATACATATATTTTCGTTTGCACATGTTTAATTACGTGGGTGTCCTGTCATAACCTCGCCACTACCTCGTCGAGGTTAGGTTCGACACTTACGGAGTAACTCCAATTGACACCAACGAGTAAATTCTCCTTGTGCTTCAGGACCCATTCAAAACTTGATCAAAAAACCAACGTTTAACATTGGGTCGGTTGTACTCATGCTACACTTTGTACTTCTTGTGCATATTTTGTATTGGTAATAGCTATCCGTGAGGTGCATCAACTCGGATTAGCTTATTTGGAGAAGCGAGGTAGATTTGCCGAAGTCCGCAGACCTTGAAGTCCCCTTCCTCTTTCCTTATTTACTGTTCATTTCATTTGAGACAATTGTACTTATTTCATATTCTATTTGTAGAACCTATAGAAGCTCATGTACTTGTGACTCCAGATCCGGGCTGTACTTAGATAATTAGGTTATTATGCTATTTCGTATTTGTTTTAGTTTCATTTCTGTTTAATTGGTTAAATTGTTCGTAGTGTTTAAAAATTGGAAAAAGAATTACTCTAATGTTGGCTTGCCTAGAGAGTGAAATGTTAGGCGCCACCACATTTTTGAAGGTGGGAATTCTGAGTCGTAACAAGTTGGTATTAGAGAACTAGGTTGCCTAGGCCTCACGAGTCACGATCATGCTTAGTAAAGTCTGGAAGATCGGTTCGGAGACGTCTGTACTTATCTTCCAGAGGCTATGGAGTTTAGGAACAATTTCACTTCTATTCTTCTCTGTGGTGCGATTTTATTCTATCGTTGATAATTGAACTCTTCTATTCTTGTTCTCTCGCAGATGGCGAGAACACGTACTACATCTTCAACTGGACAAGCAGTTCTCTCAGCTGGCGAGAACCTGCACTTGCTTGGGACCAGTTCTCTTAGCTGTTTCTAGAGAAGTTCAAACCTATCACATTGAGAAAGGATAAACGCAGGCAGTTTGAGCGTCTCCTGTAGGGCAGTATGACTGTTACTCAGTACGAGACCCATTTTGTAGATCTAGTTCGCCATGCTCTTCTCTTGCTTCCTACTAGAGGGAGAGGGTGAGGAGGTTTATTGATAGACTCACTCTCCCTATCAGGCAATAGATGGCCAAGGAGACCAGGGGTGAGATTTCCTTTCAGACGGCTGCTAATGGTTCTAGGTGGATCGAGATGGTTCTTGCACAGGAGAGAATACAGGGTTCTGATAAGAGACCTCGCCATTTCGGTGGGTTTAGTGGTGCCTCGTCTGGAGGTAAGGGTACTTTTGGTAGAGGCCATACTCCCAAGCCATTTCAGTCAGCGCTCCAGGCATCTCACACTGCTTCGGGTAGTCGCGGCCCTCATATGTCTCATCCCAACCAGCTAGCCTACAGTGCATCACCAGCTCCTATTAGTGCACCTCCGCTCCAGAGTTTTCAGGGTGGTTACCCAGGTTGACAAGGTCAGTTCCATGGTCAGCAGTCACAGCAGCCAAGGTCATGTTATACTTGTGGTGATCCGAGG